CCCGTACGTCAAAAATACTGGATTTTCGAATCACACTCTTATATTCAGATAGTCTCGGTCAGACTACCGTCCCGGATTGATTGAAGAACTTTTACAGGCTTCCTTTTGGGGAAGACCCCCTTGACACCTCGTGAGCTGATTTATTTGACAAAGGCCAACATAACCTCAAATTTCATTTGTCATTTTACGGAAAACAGCGACTTCCCCACGTTCCAAACAAACTCAAAATGATTGCTTATGAAAATTAAAAGTGTTGACAAACACACTGAATAAATCCAATTTCTCGTATTTATGTGCATTACAAGTTCGCGCGTGCGCACAACGCCTTCACCACCGCTAAAACTGTTTTAAGTCCGAAGTGAACCTAATCAGAAACATTTTAAAGAGAATGAATTTCGAGTGGTAATTACTTTGGAAAGCATGGCACGCATGGCACATTTATGATGGTAATCAGTTTTCGTTGAATTACACCAGAAGAACAAAATTATTGACATTTCAAAATACCACATTTGCCACCACATTTTTGAACTCTGCGCGACGCGGACAGAGATTATAAATCTTGTTTTCTTTAAAATTTGCTATCAAAGAGGAAAAAACCTCTAGTACGGGGTCATTACTGGGTAAAACCCTATCGTTTGGTATAATGCACTTGTCTGTATGTATTCCAGTTTCCGAGCACAATACTCGTTCTTTCACCTCCACATCACAAAGTGATGTTTGGAGGGAGGGAGGTAAAGAACGAGTAAAAAATAGGGAGTAATTTTAGCTTTGTTCTAAATTTCACCAGACATTTACTTGGTGTACCAGTGCAATGAACATTTTTACGTTAAACCTACCTTGAATTTTTTTCTGAAAGGATTTGATTACCTGCAATTCTTAAACTTTGAGCTTACTTCTCACAAGTATTTACTGTAGACTATTTAATTCCTAAAGGCTTTGGACTTCGGCGCTGACTCATCTGCAGACTGAATCACAAGCACACACTTCTTAGTCGGCCTGAAGGTGCGGACCCAGTGCGGTGCACGCTTCTCCGAGAGCGTGGCCTACACAGCCCTATTGATTATCAGATTGACACAATTAGCTCGCCAGGTGTTGCGGGTCACACGGCGTCATGAAGTCCTCTCACAAGAAGACTTACTCATTTTACATATGGGTAAGATGCCCAATGATGGACACCTTAAGAGATGCATCTGCCCAGTGAAGGACACCCCTTTTTCTAGAAATGTAGAGAACGGAACGAGGAAATTTGGCTTATTATGTCCAGGTAGGGGTCTTGCTATAACATTAGTTCCGTGCCAAGATCGTAAAGTCGATACCTTAGACTAAAAGGCACGCAGTTCAGCCACCTGATCCAAGACTCACGCAGTTCAGCCGCTTTATCCAAAAGACACGCAGTTCGCCGCTCCTCTTGGAAACCCACGCAGTTCACCGGCCGCTCGGGCGCCGCTCGGCTCTCGCTTCGGCTGCGGCGGCTGCGGCGGCTGCGGCACTCCCCCACCCCTCGCTTTCTGTCTGCTCGGCCCGTTGACGATTTCGCCTAGAAGGGATAGCTTAAGCACATTGAAAAGTGCTGGACCGCACTGCTACTGCTTCTTCTAAGCGTGGGAGTACGAATACGTGCAGCAGTCCGTAGTGGCTGAGCGTTAGTCAGTGTGCTGAAATTCTGAGAGGCCCAGGTAAATGGGGTTGTATATGGCCATATATGATTTGCATACTAGTTAGTAGCAGTCACGAACTGTTGGCTGAGCTCAAGGCCTTCCGGAAGACTGGTCAAAAAAATAAAAAATGAAACTAACGTGTGTGATAAAACAGCCTGGTTAAATTACTAAATACTCTTGAAAAGTTTACTGCATTATTACTGTGCTCGTACAAAGCACCGCCTTTCAGCCATCCTCCATTATAATTTTGTTATTCCTCGCATACTTCTGCAATGGTTAGTGTGGTTTGTGTCCATAACCCCGACCCCAATTTTGTTTCTGATGGAACATAAAAGATGAATCGAAATGTAAAATTTGTGGAATTAAATGGATAAGATCAACTTGATATATAGGTAAAATAACACAGATATATACGTTTTAGATTTTTATTTAATAATATAACAGTTTAAAGTCTAACACTTTAATTACACACACTCTTACAAAAATATTTAAGAATATCAAAAAAAATTACACAACACAACTTGATAATATGTACTTTGAACTTCAAATATTGATGGTATCAACCTTAGAAGCGCATGAGGTCCCCCAATTGGGTGATTACATTTGACATGAAGCAAAACCATAGAAAGGACCCCCCCCCCTCTTCCTTAGGTTTACAGGACATCTTCATGACTTTGGAACATCCGCATCCAGGCACAATTCAAAGATGCAAAAGAGAAGCTGCCGATTCCCTTATTTACCTCAGCTCGCAGCTCAGTCAGTACTCCCAGGCGAAGTTCAAACCCCCGATGAGATGGTAACAACATATTGGCTGCTCACAGTCAGCACTTCCAGGAAAAGTTAAAACCCGAATGAGGTGCTAACATATTGGCTGCCCACAGTCAGTAGTTCCAGGTGAAATTCTAACCCAAATGAGATGGTTGATGTAAATAAATGATTGAAACAATAAACAATTCAGCCACGCCTAATGTATATATTTAGATTGCCTGCTCACAGTCAGTACTTCCAGGCGAAATTCAAACCTGAATGAGATAGTAACTCAACTGATGTAAACGTATCTCAACAAATTAGAGCCATGCCTAAATTTTGCACTATAAAAATAATAAGTTGTAAAGTCACCTTTCACAATGAAACAAAACGAATGCAAAGGAAATGAAACATGCATCGTCACACTCAAACAGCATTCCCTTGTATATCTCAATGATAGCCATTCCAGTTTAAACAGCAGTAACCTGTCAAAAGATCTGAATTCCCTCGTGCAGTCAAGAATGTTCTGACGTACAACTATATGTAATAGGCCAGGTACATTTGGTGAAATAACTTTAACTATACTGCAAGTTCAAGCATCTATCATCCAGATTATTCACTAGTAGAAAACCAGCACCTATTAGTTGCCAAAAGTAAACTTTGAACAATCTAAATAGCTGGTGTTCTACTTGGAACACTATTAAACCATTCTATTGACAACTCGGATCCTCATTACATCAAATGACCCAAGACCGAAGAAAGAAGTTGTTTCAAGACTGCAACGCATGGCGTCCAATAACAGCCACGCCATGTTTCTGAAATAACTTCTTCTTCCGGTGTAAACTTGTAGAAATGTTAATTAAACCTTACAATGATATCACAATAACTTTAAAATTACCGTTTTCCTAACCATAGCAGCCGTTAATTAAAACATGGCAAAATACTATTCACAAATCAGAGTCGAGGGTAACTACAACTGAGGCAATTCCAGGACAGAGTCCAATGATCAAGCGCCACTTTGAACACTGGAACGGGGCCCGGCAAACAACACCGAGTCGGCCCCGTACGCCGATCCTCCCTGGCCATAAGGGCTAAAATACCAAATACCTGTTCATCGTGATCAAAGAAACGTCAACCCAGGACCACGCACCACGCCTCCGCCTGGAATGAAAGAGAATCAACGTAACGGAAACGGAACAGGAGTCAACAACGGAAACTGTCAACTTCTTCCTTCCTTCTTCTTACCAAATGTACATCAACACACAAAAAAACAAAGAAATTGTCACTCTTTAGGAATTAACGTTTGTCTAAGCATGAAAAATAAAAACTTAACAGTAAAAAAATAATAAAACAAAATAAAATGAATAATTGGTTCCAAAATAATGATATTCGTAAGCGCATGACACCTATTCACGATCGGCAACACCTGGCAGCACCAACACGAACATACGTCTCACAAGCACGAAGGGAATCAAAACGACCGGCCACCGGACGCTCTTCACAGTTGACTTGGTCAGTTCTATCGCTGCACGTTGTGTACCGTCCATCGTCGTTTACGCTGCTGTATACTGCTCAAAGGTAAATGTCACATCAGTTACCCCCACGCCTTTAGTTTTGTCACTTATTAGTCTCTGTCAACTAATCAACTTTTTAGCAGATGTTACATTTGTAACTCAAACTTTGATCATTTCACACAACTGAAATTAATAAGAATGATTTATCAAATGTGCCATTGCTTGTACTGTCATTTTGTTTGGATTTCCATGATAATCACAATCACTATAGACCACTACTAAATTTTCTTAAACTGTTGTTACTTTTCATGTTGTAAAATAGCAGTTGAAGTTAGCAAATTATTTCTTGTCTACCCAAAGAGGTATTAGAACACTGACCGACAGCATGACGTCACAATGGTCCTTTCTTTTGATGTCTTTCATGACTTTTCTTGAAGTTTGAAGTCTGATTTGACTCAAAGTCAAATCTTGGTCCAAATGCCATAAAGAGTGATGAATACGTCAAAATAGGAGACCGTTTTGATGTCATGCTGAAAGTCAATGTTCAAATTCCTTGTTGCGTATGTGTTTTGAAACTTGGTCAACATGCAAAATCTATGGAGTCCTCCCAAAAACCTCAGGACTTTGACAATAGTTGTTCGGCCATTCCACCATGAAATCCCAGAGGTTTAATCTCATTAATTTCCGCTACTTTTTCCTTTTTCTCAGATGTCTGCGGTGTGTTCGCAAGAATTCAGGAAAGGCATGGTGGCCACGCAAGCAGAAGGTCACCATCAGACCTTACTAGGGGCAAGCCATATGTCTGCTTTAAGTTCGTCCAAAAGCCAAGTGAATATAAGGATAAGCAGACCAACACCTTTCCTGACCTGCTGGTAGCATATTGCCAGGACAAGGAGACGGGCAAAAAATACTACGTATCAATGCCAGGCTTATACAACAACCTAAGTGAAGATGATGTTAAGGAGTTGAACCAGCATATTCAAGACAAGAAACCTCCATTCATTGTTTTCTATGGGAAAGATGGGTCACGTAACGACTGCATGGTTCATGAATATAGTACAAGTAAAATAGAAGAAAAAAGTAAAATACTTATAGTGAACCATGATAGAATAAAGATTTTAAAAAGGTTTAGTTTACTTACTTGTAATCCTGTCCAAACTCTTTCTGTAATATGTTTACTAAAAACTTTCTCAATAAACTTTTACCAGTGCCTGCAAAAGAAAAAGCAAATTTTGTTCCAGAAATGCACAAATTAAATTAAACCAACTCACCACAAATTTCAAAGATCTTACCAGCTTTGCCTTGCACCAACACTCTTCTATGAAGACCTGTCTGTTCATTACAATTATTTATAGCTTTAATTTGTTCTCCCAGAAACATTTTTACATTTTGTTCGGCAGAGAAAATTACATCTGGCATGTCATTGACAACAGGACCAACATCATCTTTCTTTTTTTCATTTTCAATGAAGTTCTTGAAAAAATTAAAATTACCAAATGACTCATATTTTGAAGCACTACTATGCCAATCATGATTCACATCCACTTTCTTAGATCCCAGTTCAACTGGTTGAACCATAGAACTAGCACATAGGCGAGATGCAATCATCCAATCTCCATTTCTTTCATCATTTTCACACAACATTTCAATTTCTTCTGCTTCTCCAGGTTCAACATTAACGTTATTAAAACACCATGTCTTCTTAATGTGAGCTACATTTTGTCTATCATAAACAGTTTTCCAGTTATCACCTTCTACTTTCAATTCATCTTCCAAAACAAAAGGTACAAGCAACAGTACTTGTTGCCTATACCATGGCTCGTTTTTCCCTTCATTGTCAGATAAAGTTAAACGTGGGAAAACACGAACAATGTTATGTCTTTACGTCAGTTTCTTCCAGGTGCGGCTATTACAATATTTTGCACAGTTATACAAAGAAACATTGCAACTGCTCAGGTCTGGTTTTATACTTTGCCAAAACAGTTTTTCCCTCTCTATTCTCAGAATTATTGTTCACTTCACCTACTTCATTACATTCTAGAGGAACCTAAGCAGTCTCCTTGGTATGGACTACACCAAATTTACGACCACGTACTATACGGGCATGGAACCTTCTTGGTCTTTAAGAACCGCAATGGGAAGCTAGTTCTTGCAGCAGTGCCGTGTAGATAACCGTGGGGTGGGGTGAACGCAACGGTCATAACTGCTGTTCGAGTCGCGATAACTCAGTACCACAACACTACCAGTTCCGTCCTGCTGTGTGCCCAGGGCCCGAATAACTAGATTTGTGAAAAAAGTGGTTCGTTAAATGGTACGTACTTGTTCTTAGCATTTGATCAGGATTTCCAGAGGAGTCCATTCATGGCATCACGGGTCTATTTTTCTAAATAGTACGTCTGTGCTGGTATTTTTAGGTGAGACTGTACGCCTTTTCTATACGCCCTCTAGAAATCGCTAATGTAAAACCTTTCCCGGTAATAAAAGGTCTTAATTAATTAGAAACTCGGTGTTTGCACCCGAGAAGAACTTCGGTAAACCCACACCGCCACAGACTAGTCGTTTTCAGATGATGGTGTGTAAAAGACGTAGTGACCAGTGTGCACGATTAAGTGACGGGATGGCGACGGGCTAGTGACTCCAAGAGAGTCGTTAAGCGGTCACTTTGCGACTCCCTCTCGTTTCCATCTATCACATTTCAGTCACAAGGTGATGCGATTGTCGCCTCTCTATCGCCAAAATCTCGCCACATAAGCGATCACTTTATCACGATTTATCTTGTTAGTCCGGAGTTGTACACTTTCACGGTACTTTATTTTACTTTCCAGAAGTTTGCAGTGGCGGGCTACCTCACCCTGGCATTTGTTCTTGTGGGGTACCCAACACCCAGCCGACTTGCATCAACCCATGGATGGCGCAACCATGATTTTAAAGGGGCAGTGAAGGCATCACAAAAGTTTGTTCGATGAACAGTTTGCTAGGTTGTCAATGAGAAAGTCACTTAACACGTGGAGATCCACATGACCACAAGTGTAGCCACAAGACACGTGAAAGGGACGAACCCC